ACACTCTTTGTGGTCAAGACACAGTTTAACAAAGTTAGTGTTTCAGCCCAAACAGTACGGTGAGTCCACACGTAGGATGCCTGGCACACAGAGGAGGGGACTCCAGGGGCTACACCCCACGCTCAAGTTCCCACTTAACCCTGTGACCTTGCCGGGATCCAGGGACCATATGTTATCTCTCTAACTCATCTAATGCAACCCACTGGAGAATGAAAGGCAGATGGGTGCTGGTTCAGGGGGAAAATTAAAAAAATACATATTTAATTTGGGAAGCAAGTAGTTTCAAATTTAAATGAGAGAGAGAGAGAGAGAGAGAGAGAGAGAGTATATTTTAAAAATCCCGTGTTAATAGCAAACTTCTTTCTTATGAATCGGGCCCAAAGTTTGTACAGAGTTATATTTTTGAAGAAAATATTGCATCTGCGCATGTAACTAAATAGCCATGTGATTTCTTAAAGATTTTTTTTTGCTTTGTTTTGTTTCTTTTTCATATGAGAAAGTCTGGTGTAGACGGATCAAGCATGGGTCCTCTGTCCATCAAGTTTCTTCCTTGCTGTCTAACTTCTGTTGAGGGTCAAGAAAGTGACTCTCCCTTGGAAATGTTCTCAGAGTGGTTTTGCAGCAGAGTTCTTGAAATTCAAATGGTAGTTTTGAGACAAAAATCTCACCAGATACCTATCTCTGAAATCAAACACCCATGCTTGTCCCTTAGAAGAGACGAAAGGAAACAAACAAAAAAACCCAAAACCAAAAACAAAAACAAAAATGAAAACGAAACACAGGTAATACTGAATTTAAGTAAGTGTACACCCTCCAAGACACTGAAGATGGCCGGAAGGAAGACAGAGTTCATGTTCTCAGTGAAATACCTCAAACCTAGCTGACAAAAACCAAGGCAGAAAAAAAAAAAAGACTAACAGAACTTTGAGTAATATTCATACAGTTCACTAAGCATTATGGAATAGCATGCATAATATTGTACGGTTTATTTTACATCACCTATACCAGAGGTCCTGACTGACAGACAGCGAAGGCTACCGGTGTAGAAAAATCTTACTTCAGAAGAGCAGTATAATACAGGTTTCACAGGCACTACATTTTAATATATCAGGTATTATGCTGGTTTTCTTATAATTCTTTCTGTCCTAAAGCTGGCATTATAACAATGACCAAAAGGCAAGGATTGAAGTAAACGGAAAGTAGATACCAAAGTTGATATAGTTTTTTTTTTTTTTTT